GATCCCATGTTCAAAGGCTGTTAAATCACATTGTTTACCCATATCTACAGAAAAAAAAAATCACTTCTACTGTTGTGGCAAACAACCTGCTACCCTATTTATAATGGTCTAGCCCTGTAGTAACTTCAGCGTGAAATTATAGCTAATTTGCCTACAAACGTCAGGTGGTCATAATAATCTGGCCACTCAGTGTGTGTGTGTGTGTGTGTGTGTGTGTGTGTAACTATATATCTATATATCTATATCTATATCTATATATAACATCTTGGAATCAAAGGGCATTTGTTGGTGAGAAATCTTTCCAATAAATTTAGAAAATAAAAAGCAATTCAAAATTGACATTATCTTTACCCATAATATTTTCTTACTTTGGGACATTCTACATTTCCAAATCAGAATCATAGAATGTGTGAATTCTAAAATTATGCACTTGGTTTATCCAGGATTTTTATTGCTCCAAGGAAATCCTTTATGTTCTAAGGCATGAATGAAATATAGAACTTAGAAATACATATAGAGGGTAAAATTAAAGTCTAAGAAAACAAGAGGAAACCTGCAAGTGGTGAAGTCTCGTTTGTCCAAAGGTGCAGTGGTGTTTGGTAAATCGGCTATCAGGAAGACTGACAGGCTGTTATTGACATATCCTTTCAAAGGTTCATTGCCATTTGGTGAATAGGCATAGTAGTAAACTAAACGAGGAATGATGTCCGATGTAAATGCAACAATAAAAGCCTAAAGGATAAAGCAAGAGGGAGATCAGGAGCAAGCAATCTAGTTTTTAACATGTCAGATTTGTTCCCTGGCTGGTGTAGCTCAGTCCCATGTGCCACGGGTTGCTGGTTGGATTCCTGCTCAGGACACTACCTGGGTTATGAGCTTGATCCCGGTGGGGGGCATGAAGGAGGCAGCTGGTTGATGTTTCTCTCACATTGATGTTTCTCTTCCCCTCTTCCTTCCTCTCTCTCTCTCTCTCTCTCTCTCTCTAAAAATCTTTTAAAAAATGTCTGATTTGTATTTCTCTCAGTTCCATGTGCCATATGGATGCAAAATGATTAAAATGCCATTATAAATCATGATAATATGAGTCTTTGGCCTAAAATATGAAATACCACATATATAGTATACTAGAGGCCTGGTGCACAAAAATTTGTGCACTCGGGGAGGGTCTCTCAGCCCGGCCTGTGCCCTCTCG